CTTTTCTTCCAAACCAAATACATATATACCTTCACAATTTCACTCCATTTGTTCTCTCTTTCCACTTTAGTCCAATTCAACCAAACATTCTTTTTTTCCCACTCTATTTCTTTCAATATTTTCTTTTCCACACTCTTCTCTATCCTCAACCAAGCTAAGCAAAAAGAAGGAAATCCCACAATTACATAAGCAACAGAACCATTCATGCTTATCTTAAGTTCAGTTATTTAAAGGATCATGCTCAAACAAAAAACCAAATTTAAAATAAAACTATATTCTATCATGTCATAAAGATTTGGAAAAACTTAATGTCCTTGACCCAGGCTTTGAAACAGCTACGTAAAATTTAGCAAACAAACATTAGATTGGAAAAAGTTTACGATCCCTAGATAAATTGTGAAACTTTGTCTTCAAAAAACTGAATAAATTTATAATGACTATGGAAACGTTTCCCTGGTTTACAGAAAACTCTAGAATTTCAGTTTCTACATTGTGGACGCAGGGTTTGGATATGAAAATGGCCTTTATTTCAGATGACCCCCTAGTTGTTGGTATGGCAAAGAGAAACAGTCTAAATAGCAATGACATTCCTTTTACAGATTGTCCGCATAACATCCATATTCAGGTAACAGTATGCAAGCATCAAGGTCCTTTAACCTTTATATATTACTGGGAAAATTCAACAATCATACCTTGTTTCTTAATGTTTTATCTGCACCTTTAAGCAGCAGAAGCCTCACTCATGGGTTTCTGAGTTTGAACTGCAAGATGTAATGGGTCCAGCCATCCTGAAACAGAGTAAAACAAATTAAGTTCTCAATAGCAACTGAAAAGATTACAATGTAGGTATGATAAGTACGAGAACAATTGACCATTACCTTGTCCTGAGATTTATATCCACATTATAGAATAAGAGTAATTCAATTGTCTCGGTAGAACCTGTTTGACAGCATATGCATCAAGGTGGCCCCCTCGTTTCCCATACATAAAAAAGGTAAGATGCATAAAAATTATCACCAGCAAACAACTAATCCTATGATATACTATTCTGTTAGATTAAGATGGAGCGATAAAAGTAACATTTCTCAATGGGGGAAGGAAAGACACAATATAAAAAACTTAAGGACGCAAAGGCTCACATTTGCAACAACAACAATTACGTAATTTTTTACTCACTTTATCCTGTACAAAAGGATTAGCTGAGTTTCTCAGAAGATAGCTGGTTATGGCCTGCTTTTTACCAATGGCCTTGTGAAGGACAGTCAAACCAACCTGGAAACAAAGTAAATCACTATTATTTAAATCAACGACTTCACAATGTTTATTCTGCCATATAAAAAGTTGGAATTTATCTACCTTATCGACTGCATTGATATCAACATTATGCTTCAACAAAGAATCTAAAAGGAAGCATTCTCCACATGCAGCAAATGTGTGCAGAGGAAGCCATTTATCCTGGAAATAATGTTAGCATTAGCCAAAAAAAAAAACTTATTCACCAAACTTTCCCAGTAAGAATCAGAATCCTTTCCATCAATCATGGTTCTCAAAAAAAGAAAATACAACATCCTAAACCGTTATTTCAGCTCCAATTACCCCGGTCCACAAGAAAGACAGATGACGCAACAAAACATAACAACTACTGAAATGCGACAACATCCATTCGTGGACACAATTATCTCTAAGCCTAGTAAGCCATCAAATGCAGGAGAACTATAGAATTTCATTTAAGCAATAATACATGCATAATGAGAAACAAGCACAGGTCATTGTAATTTGTTTCGTCAGACACCAGAAAACTCACTGAAGTGCAGTACCAGGTCCGGCATTCGCTTGTTCAACCAAGAACATTCTCCTCCTTACTAATAACAAACCAAATTCCGACAACCTATTCATTCAGGCCGAAAATATCAATACCACAATCCCAACATTCAAAAGAAGACACACATCCAATACCAAGTGATTTTATCTTCTCCAGAAAACTGGTTTTGATCTTAACATAAATTATTAACTTTAACATACTAAAAACTATAAAATTATCACCTTCACGGGTGGTGTTAGCACGAGGTTTGTAGCTCCCACTATTGAAAACTGTAAGACTATCCTCCAAATTCTTCCCTGAACAACCCCTCTCGGATTCTTAGGCTCTACACGCTCACCATTGAGTCAGGGTTCTGGAACTTCTCATCGACGGAAATCTAGAAGGGTTTTTGAGAACCAGAGGATTCAGCTTTTTCAATATTTCCTTCTTAGAAGCCTTGTACCATTCCAATTCACATCCGGGTAGGGACTCGACACTTTTCCATTTTCCTTTCTCTTCTTCTCCACCGTTCCGTTGAACTTAATTTTCTCGGAACCTCTGAATGGAACCATCTTTCTTCGATTCTTCTGCTTGCGCCTCTCGTTAATGGTGATTTTGGTCTCTGCCTGAGCCTCTCTCCACTTGCCGGAACCAAATTCTCGCGCTTAATCGGCGTTACTTTCTTCCCAGAACCCGCTTTGGGTTTGGGGTTGTTGTTGTCGTTTAGCAAAACGGTGTCGTTTTCGAAGATGTCATCATCGAAAGCGACGTAGTTGCGGTTCTTTTGGGAGTGGACATTCCGTTTGGCCGGAAATTGAAGGGATTGTAGAGATTGGAACCGGAGGGGAGAGATGGTTAAAGGAAAACTGATATGGTGAGAGCAGAGATTGTGAGGTTGAGCATTGAACATAACGGTGGAAAAGTTGAACATGGAGGCTTCCATTTCCAGTTGCTACTGCTGCAAATACTAAGCTAAAACAACGTTGGATCTAAACAAAATCCTTAAAATCAGTTAGATATTGATGATTCTGTACCAAACTTCATTGGATATATCATATGCTTGGTATCCCATTTCACTATCATCAACATGATAACATTGGATTTATATATACTTGAGTTCTAACCTCAAATTTTGAATCATATTGAAGAAAACATGGCAACCATATTTATTCCTTTTTTTTTCTCATATGGTTTAACCAATTACTTCATAACCCAGAAAGAACTCTGGTTCAGGTTTTTGGCGAACTCCTAAAATCAAAATACTAATATTCATTTAAAAATTTACGTTTCTTGATAGTATTTCTCATACAGACAGAGAATCGATCAAACAACTAATCACGGGTTTATATTCAAAATTATCTATATTATTATATTAATATAATATATATATAATATATATATATATATAATTGTTCACCGGCAGTTTTAAGGAGAAACGTTTCAATTTTTCATAAACTAAAATTAATTTATTCATAAGGTAAAAATATAAATTTAGAGAAAAAGACAATTCGTATAAATTAACTTATGAATAAACTAATTTCATATTTTTTTTCCTCCTAAAAGTGTTTATAATAAAATTTATCCAAACAAGACATCAATTATGCAATGTGTAGCTTACAATTTAATTTGTTCATCCATATTTTTAGCCAAATTTAATAAACGTGGTTTCCTGGCAACAAGTTGATAGAGCAAAAACCATCACTGCCTAGATTTTCAATAAAAGATAGTTTACAGCATTTCCCGTAGGAGATGTTTATAAATAAAAATATTATCTTAATATAAGTTTAGCACAAACAAGTTATTTAGAATTAAAGCTGAGATTTTAGGTATGCTTGGTGTATTGTATGAGAATCAAATTTTAAAAAATGGCATGTCATTTTTCTTTTCTTTTTCATGAAATGTTCTTATTTTCCTATCATTTAAATACATTTTACTCAATATAGTACATGTTGTACTTGTCCTAAAATCTCCATATGTTGAAGGGTGCAAATTCTCTGCAAAACTTGTCAAGGCTAATATTCTTTGCTGGTGAAAATCTTTCGAAAGTTGTGTGTTTCAGGCTCCATCATCGTTTGATACATGGCTAACTCGCCTTAGAGGCTGCTTAAACAACTTGATTAGCTCATATGTTCTGGCACTTTGTCCAGAGTAAAGGCAAAGGTCAAGTGGAGTTAAACCTCCTGCATAAACATCATGGAAATTGCAATATAAGATCAACAAAAAAAAAAAAATTTACCAGAATTAAGCACATAAAAAGAAACTGACATTCAATGCTATTCAAAGGTTTCTCAGTTTAGTAACAGTAGAAACTTTTGAAGATACTAACAGCTGAAACAAAGTTGCATGAAACACAGGACTTCGAAGACATTAGGCATGAACTAACAATTCCTCAGTTACTGTAACAACAACATAAATATGATCTATCCTAAGCAGATGGCTACTTGACACATCATGCTCAATACAAAACTAGTTTTTCCATAGAACAGTTAATCAATGTCAAGGAGATAGCACAACTTTTTGTTACTTGTGATTGTCTAAAACAGCCATCCTCTCTGATTCAGACATTGAGCTGGATATATAAGTTTTTCAAAGAATTGTGTTATTGGCAAAGTTAAATAACTCCTCAATCATTTTTGAAAAAATATCTTCAATAACTAAAAAAGTTAATATCTCAAATTCAAAATTGTTAATCAAGATTTGGATATCAGAATAACCTTTCATTAAAATCACCTAACTACATATGACAGAGACAGACCTTCTAACTACAACAAAAGCTGATAATCGTAGCAATGACCGAAGCATCTACATTCAGCTAAAATTATGCAAGACACCAAGGTTTTTTAACATTGATAGATTAAAGCAGGAAATCAATAACAAATTACCTTGTTTTTTGATGTCTTATCAGCACCTTTAATCAGCAGAAGCCTCACTAAATCTGTTCTCTGAGCTTGCACAGCAAGATGTAATGGTGTCCAGCCATACTAACAGACAGAAAATGAATTATGTTCTCAAACAGCTCAGCATAAAAAGCAAAAGGTAGATAAAATAACCAAGAGAAAAATTAATCATACATTGTCCTGAAGATTTATATCCACATTATACAGCAAGAGTAATTTAATTGATTGGGTAGAAGCTGTTAGTACCGCATAGTGCATCAATGTGGCTCCCTCCTGTTTTCAGAACATAAATAACAAAACAGTTACATACAAACATATCAGTAACAGACAACTAAGGCTTACAAGAACAATATGCTGTTAGATTAAGATGGAACAACAACAGTAATGATTTTTGAATGATGGCAGAAGAGCTAAAAACATTGGAAAGTAAAGGATGCAACTACAACAGCACAGCTCAACTATTTAGTAAAATTTTACTCACTTTGTCCAGTACAAAGGGGTTAGCTGAGTTTCTCAGGAGATAATTGGTTATGGCCTGCTTTTTTCCAATTACTGCTCTCTGAAGGGCAGTCAAACCATCCTGGAAACGAAGTAAATCAGTAAAGTAAATAGAGGACTTGTGCATTCCAATTCCCATTATGAAAAGTTAGAACTGCAATACCTTATCCACAGCATTGATATCAACATTATGCTTCAACAGAGAATCTAAAAGTTCAAATTCTCCACAAGCAGCAAGAGTGTGCAGGGGTTGCCATTTATCCTGAAAATAGCGTTGAGAATATTCACCAGAGGCTATAAGTGAATCAGAACCATTTTTCCTCTTTTGACCTTTACCACAGTCAAAAAACATTGCAACAAGGTTTCTATGACCACAGAGTATCCAGTCCAACAGGACTGACAACATCATTAATGGGATGGAGTACTCAGCAACATCATTAGCCGAACAAAAAATGACAACAACTTCCATTAAAGAAGAAAAAGAGGATTTTTTTTTTTTTAACATCAGCAAAAATATAATAACGACAGTAAAAAAACAGTCATTTTTTTTCCTTCTAACATAAAACTTACTGAAGTAGCAGTTTCCAAGTCTGGCACCCGCTTATTCAATAAAAGCTTCTCCTCCTTGGTAAACAGCTTCCGCTTACCTATTCATGCAGGCACGGAAGAATTAGAACAACGATCCCAATACTTGATAAAATCCAGACACATGCCACAAGAATAAAATCATTAATTTGATCACAGTGCAATTTCTCAGCCCACATTGTCATTTAATAACAACCATGACATGCAGTAACAGTGCACTAACGACTAACCAGTTAGACCCTAGTAAACCTCTAAATAAATACTCATCAGAAGAAGATAAAATGAATTAAGCTTGGAAGGTAAGTTAAATTTGACTCATGGAAGCAGCTAATTTTAACCCTTCTCACGAAAGTGTTATTCGAAAACATATCCAAACCAAAGCATTAGTTTTCACTGATCAGTTCATATCCCAAAGAAGAATAAGCATATCCAACACAAGTAGCAAAACAAGAGCAAACAAAAACCAAAGACACTAGAATGTAGGCAATCGAGCAAAGCGTAGAAAAGAAAAACAACTGATTTATGTACCTTGAAGGGTTTTAGCGTCAGGGTCATAGTTTTCACTATTGAAAAACTCAGTGACATCCTCGAAACCCCTTCCATAAACAAGCCATCTAGGATTCTTGGGCTCCACACGTTCGCCTCCGTTCAATTCAGGTTCAGGGTGGCCCTCTTCACCACGATCCAATTCAGGTTCAGGGTGGCCCTCTTCACCACGATTCAATTCAGGTTCAGGTTGAGGAACCTCTTCTTTCACCGGAGAACTAGAAGCGTTATCGAGAAACTTCATCTGCGCCAGTTTGGCCTCCTTATAAGCCTTATACTCATCCAAGTTCATATCCCTAAGGGGAATCAACCCCCTTCTCTTCTTTTCAACCTTGCTGTTGAACTCCATTTCCCGCGCTATCTTGCGCCTATCCCTCTTCGTGATGTTTATCTCCGCCTGAACCTCTCGCCATTTACCCGGAACCAAATTCTCGCCCACGTTCTCCTCCACCTTTTTCCTCCAACCGGGCTTGGGCTTGGGCTTGGGCTTATCGACGGTGAGAGTGTCGGAGCTGTGGAAAAGGGGGTCATCGAAAACGCCTTCCTCGAATACGATGCAGTCGCCGATGACGTGTTCTTCGGAATCGTCGTATTGGGGAGTTGGGTGCAGCGACGGCGAGAGAGAGCGGAGAATAGAGTTTCTGGGGAAGTGGAGAGTTTGTGACAGTTTGAAGTTGCGGGAGGTGGAAACGGGTAAGGGAAAGAGGAAAGTGTGAGGTTGAGGATTGAGCACAATCGCAGAAACATGAAACATGGTCGCTTGCATTACCATACCAGGTTGTTGCTCTTCCTGAACCCTGTCTCCTCTTTAGCTCATAAATTTCCACATTCTATGTCTATCTGTCTTTAATTTCGAACTTTGTTTCAATTCTGAATCCTACATGCACAAAAATTGTTGGCATTGCCTCTTTCTTTCATCAAATAGTGCTATTGAATCATCATGTTGTGTGAACAACCATTCTATCCACGAATTTTATTTGTCCCTTTAACTTTATCACTTCATTTGATTTTAATATTTGAACTCAATTATTTATTATCCTTTTTTTATCTCTGAAATTAAAAAATTGCTTTTGGTAAAGTCCTTAAATTTAATCATTTACTTGTAGTTTATTTTTTAAATTTAAGCATTTACTCTTACTGATGATTCAAATTATTTTCGGGGATTAAAATGATATTAAATGATTAATTCATACAGAACAAAAGATTATTCCTTCAAGGACTTTTTTTAATGCATTTAGGAACATAATATTTACCTTGAAATGTAATTTTATTTATTGTTATTATATATTACTTTTTTGAATTGATAAGTAAAATTTATTTTTCTCATCTCTTTCTTTTTTTTTTATTACTATTTTTTTTCTCTCCCCTCATTTTTTCCCTCTTGACACTTCTTCCATCAAGGATCAAAATAATGAAATTGGTCATCACCACCATGTGTTGGTTTTAACCACATCAGCTTCATACCATGGTTCTTTGTTTTTGTCAGAAGCGTCATGATGTTGACAACGTCTCATATAAGCTTGCTTCACTTTTCTTCACATGAATGGTTTCTAAGAAAATGTGTGATATGATAAGTAAAGGTTTGTAGCTTCAGCAGCAACTGATCCAGAAAAGAGAAAGGAAAAACGTTTATTCTTTAGACATAACATCGAGAATGCGTTTATTCTTCTCCCGACTCTTAGTAAAATTACAGACAAATACTTTACAAGTTTAATGAACCTAGATAATAATAAAAAATTAAAAAATACGTTTACCATTTAAACTATCCCCACCAAGACCCTAATTTATAAAATAATCAATTTTATTGATCTATTAAACTTTACCATTTTTCCAATATCATGGCAACTTTTTATTATACTATTAATATCTGTCGTCAATACACCATTTGCCAGCTTTACAAAATTATACTTTAATGAGCGACCATAAATTTTGTTAAAAAAGAATCCCCCATTTCTACTACCGATATTTTCACCTCTATAACTAAATCTATCTTTAAAACACATACAATTCAAAAGATTGCTAAAACATTAACAAGAAATTTATTATAAAGATTTCAACAAAATTAACATGGATAATGTCACATTATTTTGCAAACTCGGGATATTTATATTTGTCTAAATAATATCTTATAAAGATCTATGCTTTTATAACTTTCAAAATTAAGTATTACATATAAAATATTGCTCATCAATTATTACTTGTGGCTAACTTATTTAAAGACCTCCATATTGAAAATGTTTCAGCAAAAAGATGTCATAAACCACAAGCTTAAAATTTTTAAAACCAAACTTCGACAATTAATAGTTTAATAAATGTCCATCAATTACTGGCATACCCAACTAATTTCCACTTGGCCACGACACACACCCCCTACTAAAAACTTAGTTAAGTTTGCGAATCTGCTTGGTGGTACGAATAACGAACCGAAAAATATCAGACAAAATGGAGCTTTACAGAGTAGTGGGTCTTTTAGATTTGACCAATAAATTACGAATTATACAAACTAGTTAAGTTTAAAACAAACAGAAGTACGAAAGAAAGTATTAATAAGTGCAAACTGTTTCCAAAACATGGATACAAACTGATGTTCATAAAACAGTTTTTTCCTTTCCATCTTGAAATTTAAAGATGGAAAAAGCTTCAAAAGACATCACCTAGATCCACGAGCATACCTCCTGTCTGGGCTACCATATGGAGAGTATGGAAGTGACCTGGACCTATCCCTCCTAGTTCTTCCGCCATAAGGTGGCGGTGAATGCCTCGGAGAATAATCTCTACCACCTCGATAAGGTGAGCGCCTCGGAGACCTTCCACGCTCTCCTCGATATGCATAATCATCACGGCCAGATCCACCTCCTCTATACCTTCCGCGGTCACCGCGATATCCTTCAGACAAACAGGTGGGGTTCAGTAAAAGTTTACATAAAGCAAAAGATGAAGACTGGACTAACCATTCAAAAGACGCTGTCTCAAACCTACCATAGTCTCGAGTACTTTTCAGACCAAGATAGTGTCCAGGTGTAGGAGTTCTTGCACGCTTTCTTCGTGACTGAAATAAAACACAGAGGCTCACAATCCCTGGAGTTTATTTGGCTAAAGACTGCATAAATAAATCATCCAAGTAACACTGGAAGAAAAACACGTAGAATATCGTGATGTCCCTGTGGCCTAAGCAAAATGTACTAACACTTGCACACTATATCTATGTTTGTTCTTTAAGAGTAAGTTTCTACAACGTAAACAGGCTAGCTTATAAGGAAAAAAAATGTATATCCACACACATGATTAATGCCAGGTGTGAGATACCATAAAAGCCTGATTAGAAAGTTGTTGATAATGTCCGTTGATTAGTTGAGTTGAAAGTGAATGCTGATGTTGTAAAGTTGTTGGACAATATAGTTGCTATGTGTTTAGTGGATCAGAGGCATTTGATTAGAGCTGTTTAAGCTTGCCATTGATCAAGCTGTATCACTAAAGTTGACATGGATGAACTGATCATCTTTGATTGCTGCCAAAATAGCTGAGGCAATGTATTCTGAATACGACCACAAAACCTTCAAGTTAAGAAGAAACAAGAGCACAAGTATTCTGTAGCAACTACAAGTTAATTGAAGAACACAATACCCGCTCAACAGTGATATAGCGACCCTCTAAAACTGATTGATTGAGATATTTGATGCAGCGGTTTGCATCCTCAACATTATCCATTGTAATAAAAGCGAAACCTCGAGAAATGCGAGTACGGGGCTCCACCACAAGAAAACACGAAGCAACCTAACAAAGAAGACGACTATTAACACCCATTCCAAAATATGGGGTTCAACGGGGAGGAAAAATTGTGACAATTAAGTGAAAAAGTGTAAATCAAACAACACTCACCTTTCCCTCTTTAGAGAAATGCTCCTCCAGGTCTCTCTCAGTGACCCTTGAAGATAGGCCAGTGACGTAAAGTGTATTCCCTGTATTTTTAGTCTCCATCCTGAAACATAAATTGAACATATAAGTCCTTGACACATCATTAAACCATATCAAAAAGGCACAACCGTACTTAATTCAGAAATACTTTACAATTTAATATTTATCTTCTAATGGAAGCATTATGTCCAGATACAAATAAATCGGAAAGTGACTAACCTGTCATTACTTCTTGATCTTGATCTGAACGAGACAAGATGGTTTAGTCCACAGCACAGCCACGAAAAACGAAGAAGTATTAAACACATTAACACAATAGCCATAACTCATGAAAAATAAATGCTTGGCACTAACCTTCCACGACTTCTGGAGCGAGACCTTGGCCTTTGTTTTTCAAATGATCTTGACCGGGACCTAGACCTTGGCCTAGATCTAGACCTAGATCTTGACTGAGCCCTCCATGGGGAAGGGGACCTTGAATTCCTGAAACATCCAATCATAACACAAAGGACAAACAGTTTCATTAACCAGTAATCTTAGAGTGTCCTCCACATTCATCCTTTAACCATGAGCTTAAAATTAAAATCTCATAAAATTGAACGCGTTCACCTTGGTGACACATGAATTCTAGTATTAAACTTGTTCACAATACCCGAATCAAGAAATTAATTCTGGACCCTCTATGGGCAGATAATCAGAGCAAAACTCGGTTGAGGACCCCACTTGAAATTGGACAAAGGCAAACACTAGTAGCCAACTATGTGTAACTCAAGTTTTCTCTATAGACAGTCCTTTCATCTACGGCTTGGGAATGGCAGCGCTGTACACGCATAAACCAGCCCGAATGTGAGGGTTCATGGTGGATCTCAATTATCGTCACAGATTCTCGCCGACAGAGAGGAGATCAAATCCCAAATCAACGTCCTAGGTCAATACTAGAACAACGTTGAATACCTAAGGCAAGCCCTAAACACCGAACACGGCACAACTAAATGTTTCAGCCATAGCTATCGCCATAGCAATAACCTAGGTTCCGGACCTACCTCCTACGCTAAACTTTGTCAAGAACAAATTCGTCAACAAATAATTTTCGATGTTCTAATTCATTGTGCATTAGGGTTACAAACACAGACACATACAAACACTCGTTATCAAATGCCACGCAGTGCATGAAAATTACAGGATAATCATTATCATCATAATCTAAGAGAATTACGGAGTTTACCTTCTTGGCGGAGAATCGGCCTGCAAAATAATTGAAAAATGAAAAAAGCGTTAGAATATCTTGGGCAAGCCATAGAGAAGAATCTGAGTGATTGGAATGGATTGATAAGGGGAACATGCCATTTCAACGAGATCTTTCAAGCGTAGACCTCTTGAACCGAGATGAAGAAGAATCAAGAAAGAGACCACGAAGGCTAAGGGTTTTGTTTTGTCAATCGCAGAGCAACGAATTGACCTTCGATTCATATAGCGAGCTGTTAAAAGGGTCGGGTCACTGAGTCGGTCCTTTTTAATCGGACTGGACCCATTACGTTTCTGGTTAGCATTTTTTTTTAAAAAAGAGCCCAAATATGGCACTACTTCCCAAGATGAGAGTTCTTAGAATCGATTATTAGGAAAATAAAAAGGTTTATAACAATACTTTTCAATGATAATCCGAAATAATTAATATTTTTATGAAAATACCAAATTTAATTAAAAAGTAGTTTTTATAATAATATTAAAATGAAAAATATTATTAAAATTTGTATTAAAGTTATAAAAAGTATGTAAAAAATAGTAATAAAAGTAAAGTAGTTATATAAAAATGCAAAAAATAATACTACAAAGTAAGATTATAAATAAATATTAATAATCTGTCTAGGATAACTACTCTCGATCTTTTGGCAAGATATTGGTTTTTTTTATCTTAATATTGGGCTTGACTTGAGATAAAAAGTCCTATTTTTTATTTCATTTTGTTTAATAAGATCCATTATTCCTAGATAATAGGTCGATAATAAATGTTTCCAAATTTATAAATCTACCTCTACATAATTACCAGAAAAGA